AGTTGGGTGCATGCAACCACCTCAGGCCCAAGGCCTGTTCTCAATCGTGCCGTGCCTCAGGCTACCGGGGCCTACTGGAAGCTTCCTGGGACTGGCCGCAGGCAGGCCACTTCGATATAGCAAAGGGCCTGCCTCCGCATTCAGGATTCGGGTGCTGGCTGCATGCTGCGCAAGCGCTGCTGCGCTATTTGCTGGCCAGCGCTCACGCGGTCACGGGCGAGCAGGGAAGGAGAAGGCAGCCATAGCCGAGCTGCACTGCTGTAAGCTGGGTGTGGCGCAGGGTGGTCCTTGGGTGCAAGTGGCATCTGTGTGTTGGGGAACGAGGTTGTGAGTGAGGCGAGAGACTTACCTGGTGCTGGAAGCGTGCAACATTGGTCGCTGCATGCTCGTACTTCGGGAAAGCTGTTGTCGTCATCATTCGGCATTGTAGTATAGGCTAGATAGGATCTGCCATCTGTAGTCTGGGCGCCGAACACCCGATAGGATATCAACATTGGTTCTTCATTGATGATGATGATGAGACTTTACCAGCATTGTCAATTATGAGCTCTTGGTGTCTTCTTATTTGGTGAAACTTCAATTCTGCTGTTGGTTCGAGGTCACGACTATCTGGTCTTGTGTATATGATGCTGTTTGATTGCTGAAGTTCGCTATTGCTCATCTTCCTTGCACCGCCATCAGAGGGGTATGCCAGTGTAAGCCAGCTGTTTGAGCAGCAGAATGGAACCCATCTTTGCGGGCATAAGGAAAACATATCCATTTCATTTTTCTATTTTCCGGCAACCATTTGGTGTGAGGGGAGAAGTGCTGGGTGGAATTCCCCCTGACGAGATGGCCTGGCGGCGGTTGAAACCCGTAAGGGTGCTAACTTTCCCACCAGATGCTCTGTTGTTCAAGTGTATGCTAGTGTCCTCATGGGACTTGGGTGAAGTGTTCGCTTGATTAATCAAATCGATTGTTGATTGTTTCTTCAATTGATATTGAAGTTGATTGTTGATAGGACTCTGCTCTCATTTCTGCTCCTCTTTCTCTCTTTGGCTTTTTGAATGTTTGGAATTTTGCTGCTATCCAGGCGCTTCAAGAATATGTGTTGGAGTATGTGGCCAAGTATTTGGAGTGGCTTGGTGTTTCTCCATCAAAGACAAATATGGATCTTGCAAAGCAATACCTCCACCCGCGCAATTCTAAAATTGTTGCATCACTACGCGCTGATGGCACCAGAGTTGATCATCTCATGATGAAGTAAGTTGCACAGTCGCCGCCTCCTCACTATGCCTGCTCTTTTTTGTTGTTGTTTTTTCCATAACACTTGAAAACCCCATCAGTGTGCAACAACTCAATATCCTAGATCATATCAGCACCGCCAAATGGTTGATGGCTGATCGTCATCTTCCTCTGTCCTCCTCTATCCTCTATGTATGAGCCCTGACCTCCTTCCCCCATCCCTTCCTCTCTTTTCCCCTTTCTTTCACCTTGTCCGTTATTTCTTTCACTCCCAGCTCCTTCCCCTACATATTTCTCCCTCGCGTTCGATTTCGAATGGACTTTATGTCTGTTGTGTCCGAGTGTGCAGTGCACCTGCTGTGAATGACATCTCTTATCTCTTCTACTCTCTGTTTTCCCTCCTCCCTCGTCTTTGTTTCCCCCACTGCAGAAAGGGCAATGGTCTTCAGATATATCCACAGGTGACCCGCCCTATCTAATTCAGAGTCATTATTGTTGTTTCATAGGATTCTTGTTGTCCTGATTATCCAGAGAATTGTTTGCCATGATTATTTGTTGAACTTTGGTTATCACAAGTGTTCAGAGTTCAAGGTTAACAAGGTGCCAAGTTTCCTTTTTTTTTTTCTTTCTTTCTTTCTTTTTATCTTTTTTGAAACAAGTGTGGGGATGGAGCCCTCATTGGGGCCTTGCCGACATGCATATGTTCTGGGCTAAGGCCCCCAGCAAGCCTCGTGCCCGCCCTAAGTAAAGGCGGGCCAGAATATCTACGAGAGGCTTTTCTTTCAGCATTTCGCAAAGTGGGTATCAGACAGTTGCAGCACACCAGTTGGTTGGAGTGCATCGTGAAGCCCAGACTCCTGCAGAAGCAGTTGAGCCCAGGGCCTCGGTTGGTTGAGCCCTGGGCACAAGCCAGGGGAGGCCGACACATCACACATTGGACGCTGGCCAATCAAAAAGCAGCGTTGTCGTCGTAGAGGCCGAGCGTGCCAATGGGAAACCGGCCCGCTATCTGAATCTGGACATCGGCCCTGGGCTGATGGGCGCAACTGTAAAGTCTGGGCCCCATCTGCATTGGGCCTGGACACAGATACCGGGGCCCAGTCGCAGGCTAGAGTGAGCTGCACAAGCGCCTACCACGGCATATAGGCACTCTGGGCGCAGGGGAAAGGATCTTGGCCGGTGCGGCATTGTCGGCAAGCTGCTGCATTGTGTAGCGAGCGCGTGGATGCTGCGCTAGGTGGTCAAGCGCACTAGCGGGCGCAGAGGCGTGGGGCGCTGCAGGGCAGCGAGCGCCGGCAGCCGGGCTGCTGGGCACAGTGAGAGGTAGGGAGGCGAAGGTGGTCTTCGGGAAGGAGGCATGAGAGTGGGGAGACGGGATAGGAGTGGGGAGCAACAAAGGTACTTACCTGGCGTGCAGAGAGGAGGTGGGCATTGGTGTTGACGTCAAGCACGCTGGTCTTCAAGTCGTCTGGTTGTGATCATGCTGTAGCTGTAGGGAGTGTTCAGAGAGAGAGCTACATTGGGTTATGTTGTTGGTGTGGCCCTACGGGCTGGGACATTGACCTCACGATTCTGCTGTATCATTCTCATATGAATGGTTTCTTGGTTCCAATGCGCCATCTGCTCTTTGTTTGACTACTTGCGTGATTTGCAATTTGGATTTCTGTACTTCGCTCACATTCATGTTCCTTGCAATTTGGTATCGGAGCCGGTTCGATTCGCCGCTTACCTTGTGCGCTGGCGACATACAGACTTGGTGCGTTGACGATGCTTCTTCGCAGTTGGTGCTTGTGACATCAGGCGAAATAGCACGCGACCCGGGTAGAGGGGTGCGCGCTGGAAGGGTATACAGCTTGGGATGCTGTGGTGACAGCGGAATGTATGTATGGTGATGAGAGCATGCTGATGTGGCAGTTGGCTGAGGTGGCACTGCATTGCTTTGTGGGTGGTGCCGAGGCTACGACCGGTCATCAAATGCACATTCAACTCAATTGGTGAGAAATTTGTGGTTGGGGGCAGCTATCTTCAGGTACATTGTTTCCTTACCTTATCTTCCCTTTCAATCTCTTCCTACCGCGAGGAAGTGAGTCCAACTTGAGAGTCCTCTCTTTTTGGTGAGGTGTCGTGAGCGCTCTACCTTGAAAGACGACAATCTTCCCAGTGGCGCATCTGGAAGGAGAAAGGGCGGTGCCTCTGAAGGGCCCTGGTCGAAGCACGTGGGTCACGGTCACCATGCCAACCTAATGGGATTAGTACACGCATCCGATGGCTGCTTTGTCCATTGAGGCTCTTTGCTGCGCTGATAGAGGGGTGTGCGGACTGAACAGGCTTATGCAGACGCTCCCAGACCGTCTGTAAACATTTCTGGTTGGGGTTCCGAACTGTCCACTGGCTGTGATCGTCGTCCTGTTTGCGACGTTAAATAATTCTTGCGGACCTTGGGGGCTGTCCTTAAATTGCCTCTTGATCAGTCAGATCAGTCGGACGTACGGCTCGTTGCACGCGAGGATAAATAACGGGTAAGCCTGGTCATAAGCATACACCTGGGGCACAGGGGTGGGCCGACATTGCACACCTAAGACACTGCTGCTCATTGATGCTCATCGCTACGTTGGATTGAGGGGATGGTAGGTTCCAATTGGTGCTCACCTGTAAACACAACCATTTCCACTGTTCATACATCTGCAACATAATTTAGTTTTATTTTTGATTTGTTGGTTGACAGATTGCTAACACCTCACAGACAGCTTAGTTTAGGACTGTTGTATACTACCATAGCCAGTTCTATGCAAAGCTTCTGTAGGTGAACTAATCTGGATAAAATTAGATTATGTGTACAGTCTTTGTGAATGTTGTAGGCTGCCACTTGATCGGTTAAGTAGGGGACCTTCCGGACACATTTATTTTTAGAAAATTAGGTGCCGGTCAGACACGTTGTGGTAGGACTCCAGCAGGGAGTTGTAGTGCAGATAGTGTTTGCCTAGCTGATGAGTGGGTCAGACTCCGATGAGGGTAGAGTTGATGATGCGAGGCTGACACGTTTGAGATGACGTAGGGTTCCGTACGTGTTTCAGTTCCTACAGTCGGGAGACGAAAGACGGCTTCGTGCCGAAGTTAGAGCCCGTGCTTACGCAGCAGCCGGGGAAGTAGCACTAGCTGCAAGTCAGGCATTAGCAGCAGCAAACGCCGCAGCTAGGGAACAGGCAGCAGCAGCAGCCAGCGCAACAGCAATGGCTACCGCCGCAGCATCCTCTACTGCATCCTCGTTTGGGACCCAGTTGGGGATGCCCCATGGGCCCACGAGTACTTCCGGATCAGTAGGTTGCAGTCACTCCACTAGTCAAATGGCGGGCTCGCATTCAGTCCGTTGACCCACACCGGAGGGAGCTACAAGAGCTCCAACAAGTTGAGAGGACACGGTTAGAGAGGGAACTGAAGCAAGCTACCAATAGAGAAAATGAGATTAGAAATAGAACAGCCATACTAGATACGTTAGAGGCAGACAAAGCTGCATTAGAGGAGTTAGATGAGTCAGCAATGTCTGATGCAATGAAAGTGCCAAGGTCTAGCATATTGTCACTGCATGCGCATGTAGACAGCAGGCTGGACTTCATGCAGAGCTCCTTGGACCAAATCTTGGACCTTTTGCAAAGGCTAGGATTACGGCCAACATCACAGTCGCTGTTGCTGTTGACGGCGATGTCAGGCCCCTTTCCGGTACAAGTTGGCACACAACCAAGTGGTACGTCTGCAGCAGCCGCACATACTGTTGCTTCTACTTCTTCTGGTCTAGCGGCTGGAGCTACACCACAACCGCAGCAATCTGTTCCACCTCAGGGACAGCAGCAAAGTCCATGGTACCCAAAGACCCCGATGAAGCCACCCCTTGCTTTCTCCGGTGAGAAGAAGGACGAGGAACTCAACACTTGGTTGAGGACGGTTCCAATGTGGGTAAGGGCAAAGAGGACGATGCAGGAGGAGGAGGTGATTACTGCTGCATCTTACCTTGAGGGTAAGGCAGCCAAGTGGCTGGATGGGATAGTAGCTAAGGCCGGGTTCGGACGACGCATGGCAGATTGGGGTAAAACCCTCACTTTAGAAGAGTTCTTGGATATGGTAGAAGATCGCTGGCATAATCCGCTGACGCGATGCTCAGATTGGACCAGCGAAGGTACTAGTCTGTCAGAGAGCTGACGTCTACCGTAGAGAACCTCATTGTCATTCGCGGCATACGCTATGATGACCAGGTCTTATTGACCATGTTTCTGAGATGTCTGTCCGAGAATCTCAGAACCTTACTGGCCAGTGAGGCTCGCCTCGAGTATCAATCTTTTGAGACCTTCTATAGAAAGGCCTTAGACTTAGAGGCTACTCTAGGAAGTGCTCAACCTACTCCAGTAGACGGGAGGAAGAAGAAGAGTCCACATGAATGGAAAAAGAAGGGTAGTAGATTGATGATGGTTGAGTCCGATTGGACTCAAACTGAAATCGAGGAACTCACCGACCTGATGGACGGCTCAGAGTACGACGGCGAGGAGATCGCTGAGGGTAGCACCCTCGCCGCATTAGTCAAGGTAAAGGCAGATGGCCGCGGTAAATGCGGCCGTAAAAAAAGTAAAGGGCAGACCGCCTCCAATCAGTCCAAAGTAGCAGATTGGGTCAAGGCATGTCTTGATCAGGAAGTATGGCGGGACCGCCGAGTGCGTGGTGCTTGCATCAACTGTGGTGAATATGGACACACCTAGTATAAGTGCAAGAACACAAAGGTCACGCAAAAGATACCCCCTAAGGGAGGGGTGCCTTCTTCCCAGGCTGGGACCAGTTCCAGTTCGGGAAACACTTGAGGCTAGTGGAAGTTTTAGTTGCTTCTACTCATGGTGAAGTGGGGCAGATACCCTCCCCATTTCATGAGATGGCCACAACTAACGACTCTTTAGTCACCCCGAAGACACATCCAGACCAAACCATGCTCTGTACGTTGGGTGTGTATGAAGCCTTAGAGGACTTACAAAGCGAATGGCCGAATAGTGATCCACGCGAGTCCTGGGTGGCACTCAGTGCAGGTCCTAGAGGGGAACATTTCGTAGTGGAGGTTGTTGTAGGAGGCCGCAAATGTGGTGACTTCGTAGACATCGGCACCACCCAGAATTTTATAAGTCACAACTGTTTGGAAAGGCTGCGTCTAGAGAACCAGGTGCAACACCTAAGTAGACCAGTAGCATCTACTTTGGCCAATAAGGAGTGCATGGTTGTCACAGACTATGTCAAGGATGTAGTCTGCACCTTCTCCTATGGAGGAGGGGAACTTAATCACAAGATTTCGTTCCTGGTTAGTGACGACTTACCATTTGATATGCTATTAGTAATGTACTACCTTGAGGTTGCCAAGCCCCAGTTTGATTGGGACAAGAAGGTGCTCAAGCATGAGTTGCTTGATGGGAGGACCGTAAAACTGACCAAGTATAAGGCTAATAGGTTACTAGAATCCTATGGCTACTTGTGCGCATCAACGTTCTACAATTATTATAAACAGAACCAAGAGGAGGGTATGTACCTAGTGTATGTCTCTGAGAAAGGGGAGGCCGTTAAAACACCTCCAGAGATAGGACATGCTGTTGCTAAGTTCCCTGATATGTTTGAGGAACCTACATGAGTCGTAGATAGGGAGATTGTCCACGCCATAGAAATCATTCCAGGGAGTAAAACCCCAAAGGGAAGGATCTATAGGATGGCTCCGACCGAGTTGGACGAACTTCGGCGACAACTGAAAGAGCTCACAGAGAAGGGATGGATATGGCCTAGTACTTCACCCTTCGGATCACCAGTGTTATTTGTACCGAAGAAGGGGGGGTCGTTGAGGATGTGCATTGATTATAGAGGCCTCAATGCCATCACTGTGAAGAACGTTGAGCCTCTACCACGCATTGACGACCTATTGGATAGGGTGCAGGGATGTAAGTACTATACCAAGATAAATTTAAAATCCGGCTACCATCAAATTGCCATAAGACCTGAGGATCAACGCAAAACCGCATTTCAGACGAGGTACGACCTGTACGAGTTTGTGGTGATGCCCTTTGGCCTTTGCAATGCGCTGGGTACATTCCAGCTCGCCATGAATAGGATCTTCCATGACTACTTGGACAAGTTTGTCGTCGTGTACCTTGACGATATTCTTGTCTTTAGTAAGTCTGTCGAGGAGCATGCACAACATTTAGAGATTGTTCTCTCACTCCTGCGGCAGCACAAGTATAAGGTCAACTTAGAGAAATGCGAGTTCGGACGCACTAGAATCTTGTACTTGGGTTATGAAGTATCCGCGGCAGGGATTAGGCCGGAAGATGCAAAGGTGGCCAGTATAAGGGACTGACCACGACCTCAGACTGTTACTGAGGTCATATCTTTCTTAGGAATGTGCGGTTACTATAGGAACTTCATGAAGAATTACTCTACAATCGCCTCTCCTTTGACTGATCTCACTCGACTTGACACACTGTGGGAGTGGAGTGATGAGTGTGAGGCTGCTTTCGAGCGATTGAAACATGCCCTCATGAATCATGAGGTTCTCATGGTACCCGATCCTCAGAAGCCTTTCATTGTGACCACTGACGCAAGCCAATATGGCATTGGTGCAGTGCTGGCTCAGCAGGATGCAAAAAAGTTGAGACCGGTTGAGTACATGAGCAAAAAGATGCCATCCAAAAAGTTGGCAAAGTCCACCTACGAGAGAGAACTCTACGCCTTGTATAAGTCACTGATCCATTGGAGGCACTTTCTGTTGGGTAGGTTCTTCTATTTGAGAACTGACCATCAGACGTTGAAGTGGATAAAGACACAACATGTTCTCTCCGATGCCCTCAAGCGATGGATTGAAGTCATAGAGCAATATGACTTCAAAATCGATTACTTGAAGGGGGAGTATAACAAGGTTGTTGACACACTGTCGCGTGGGGCAGATTACCTCGGGCCTTTAGTCACTGAATTCGGCATTTCTGACGATGTGACTCGATCGTTGGAGGAAGCCTATCGGGAAGACCCTGTCACGATGGATATCATTCACAAACTGCAGGTCAAAGACAAGGGCACAGAAGAAGAGTTTGTGATGGTGGATGGGTTGCTCTTTCTGAAAAAGGCTGGGATTGAAAGATTAGTTGTTCCATCTAGTGAGAATTTGCGTAGTTTATTTTTAGGTGAATGTCATGATGCAACTGGACATTTTGGCTACAAAAAGACCAGTGCCAATCTAGTACAACGATTTTGGTGGCCCGGTATGCTAGATGATGCAAAGAAGTATGTGGAGACCTGCCAGGTCTGTCAGCGGGACAAACCGCGAACTCAAGCACCGCTTGGGTTGCCGAAGCCCTTGCCCATTCCTGCTGGTCGGGGACCGAGTGTTTCCATGGATTTCATGGACACCCTGGTAACCAGCAGGAGTGGCAAGAGGCACATCTTTGTCATCATAGACAGATTCACCAAGTATGCTAGACTGATTGCCATGTCGGAGACTGCGAGGACTAAGCACGTCATCACGTTGTTTATGGACAACTGGGTGCGTGATTTTGGACTGCCAAAGTCAATCGTTAGTGACAGAGATGTCCGCTTCACAAGTGAGCTGTGGAAGAAGACTGCTGAGCAAATGGGCAGTCAACTTCAGATGACTTCTGGGAATCATCCCGAAGCCAACGGACAGTCCGAACAAATGAACAAAGTTGTGCAACATCCGTTGAGGCACTACATTAAGCCCAGTCGGGATGACTGGGATGAGAAATTGCCTCTCATCGCCAGCCTGTACAACAACAGTGTGCACAACACAGCCGGCGTTAGTCCTAACCAGCTGCACTTGGGATGGAAGCCTAGATCCGCTCTAGACTTCCTCTTGCCTGAAAACTGACCTGCTGCAACACCTGGCACCTTGGAATACGAGGTGCAGTATGAGAAGTTGTTGCAGCAAGCTGTCGAGCATATCAAGAAATCTGAGGAAGCAATGATTGCTTCTGAGAACAAACATCGTCGACCGTGCACATTTCAGGTAGGGGAACGTGTCTGGGTTAAGGCTAGTAAACTAAGACAGGAATTCAGAATCTCTCGTAAACTAATGCCATAGTATTTCGGTCCTTGGGAAGTCTTGGATGTAGTTGGGAATGATTTGGATGGTCCCTCCTACGTTATTCGAATCCCTGGTCACCTGCTCACTTCCCTGTCTTCCACGCCTCAAAGCTTGCACCTTTCGCTGAGACAGCTCGGTTTCCATCCAGGGGAATGTTGCCCCCAACCATGGACGACCACGTGGATATCGACGACATTCTGGAACACAGAGACATGCCTGTTCCAAAACCTCTGGGTAGAGGGAGACCTCCAAAACCCAAGAGAGAATACAGGGTCAGATTCAGGCATCACACAGATTCGAAAGAAGATCGATGGTTCACCAGAGAGGAACTGATTGAGACAACACCTCAGGTGGTGGCTGAATATGAAAGAAAGTTAAAGGGGAAGGCACCTGCAAAGTAAGCATCTCAGCGGACTTTCGAAGCTAGGGGGGATGGAATGTGAGGATTGAGCCCTCATTGGGGCCTTGCCGACATGCATATGTTCTGGGCTAAGGCCCCCAACAAGCCTCATGCCCGCCCTAAGTGAAGGCGGGCCAGAATATCCACGAGAGGCCTTTCTTTCAACATTTCGCGAAATGGGTATCAAACAGTTGCAGCATGCCAGTTGGTTGGAGTGCATCGTGAAGCCCAGACTCCTGCAGAAGCAGTTGAGCCCTGGGCACAAGCCAGGGGAGGCCGACACATCACACATTGGACGCTGGCCAATCGAAAAGCAGTGTTGTCGTCGTAGAGGCCCAGCGTGCCAATGGGAAACCGGCCTGCTATCTGAATCTAGATATCGGCCCTGGGCTGATGGGCGCAATTGTAAAGTCTAGGCCCCATCTGCATTGGGCCTGGACACAGATATCGGGGCCCAGTCGCAGGCTAGAGTGAGCCGCACACGCGCCTACCACAGCATATAGGCAGTCTGGGCGCAGAGGAAAGTAGATAGTGCGGCCACTTACAACTATATTAGTAGAAAGGCGCTGCAGTAGTTGAAGTTGGGGCTAAAAGTCCGGAAGTTAACGGACCCCATAGTGAGTATCCTCGCAGGCAATCGCACAATGCGAGTAGAGGATTACGTAGATGGAGTCCAGGCGTACTTTCGCTTAGAGAAAGATGGGAAAGTGGAGAAAGTTCTCCATTCCCTGACTCTCCTCGTAGAGGACAGCCTTCCCTTCGATATAGTCTTAGGAATGGACTGGGGAGAGGCAGCCGGGGCCACACTCCATTTGAGAGAGCATGAGTGTAGGCTCCCTAGCCCGTCAGGCGGGGTCAATACTGCCCGTCTGTTTCATGTATCAGGAGTGTTTCATGTGTCAGGAGTAGACAACTCCCTGGCACATTGCTGCCTTAGCGCTCCTGCGTTCGCGAGGTTAGTGAAGAAGGAGCAACTAGAAGAACAGGTTTTTGTAGCCTATGTTAGGCCAGTTACTGAGCCTAAAGAGAAAAAACCCATAGATCTCGCCATTGCCAAGTTGTTGGAAGAGTACAAAGATCTAGCTAAGCCGCCTACAGGGGTAGTCCTGCAGCCCATCCAGCATCGCATTGAGATCGAACCTGGCAGCAAGACTCCTAAAGGAGCAGTGTATAGGATGTCCCCGCGGGAATTGGAGGAGCTGCGCAAGCAGTTAGATGAACTCCTAGAGAAGGGTTGGATTAGGCCCAGTTCGTCTCTATTTGGAACACCTGTTCTATTTGTCCCAAAGAAGGAGGGAGAGCTTAGAATGTGCATTGACTATGGGGGTCTCAATGCTATCACCGTGAAGAACGCGGAGCCATTGCCCCTTATAGATGATCTTTTAGATCGGGTGCAGGCCTGCAAGTATTTTTCAAAGATAGACTTGAAGTCCGGATATCATCAGATAGAGGTCCATCATGATGATCAGTATAAGACCGCATTCCGGACTAGATATGGACACTACGAGTTTATAGTTATGCCCTTTGGACTAACCAACCCGCCAACAACTTTTCAGCGTTGTATGAATGACTTGCTTAGGCTGTGGTTAGACAGGTTTGTAGTAGTCTACTTAGATGACATTCTAGTGTTCAGTAGGCACCTCCAGAAACATGAGGGTCATCTAAGGCAGGTCTTTGGGGAAGCTTAGAGAGGCCAACTTCAAGATCAATGCAAAGAAGTGCGAATGGGCAAAAACCCAACTTCTGTATTTAGGCCATGTCTTAGACGGAGACAACATCAAACCAGAAGATAGTAAGATCGCAGCGATTAGAGATTGGCCTACACCCCGCACGTTGACAGAGTTGCGGTCGTTCTTATGCCTAGCTAACTATTACAGGAAGTTTGTGAGAAACTTCTCCACCATCGCTGCACCCCTTCGCAGGTTGTTGAAGAAAGAAACAATCTAGAAGTGGGACAAGGACTACACGTCTGCCATGAGGAAATTGAAGAAGGCATTGATAGAGTACCCGGTCCTTAAGGTAGCCGATCCGTCATTATCTTTTGTCGTCACGACTGATGCGAGCCAGTATGGTATAGGTGTTGTATTACAGCAAGACGATGGCAACGGATATAGACCCGTAGAGTTTATGTCTGCTAGGATGCCTTCAGAGAAGGTAGCGACATCTACCTATGAGAGGGAACTCTACGCTCTCTAGCAAGCATTAGAACACTGGAAGCACCACTTGCTTGGGAGGCACTTCAAAGTCTACTCAGACCACGAGATATTAAGGTGGCTGAAGACGCAGACCAAGATGACACCTAAGCTTACTAGGTGGGCCGCAGAGTTAGACCAATATGACTTTGAGCTTAAGCCAGTCAAAGGGAAGTATAATGTATTTGCGGACATTCTGAGCAGGAGAGATGACTACTTTGGAGCGATAGTTCATTATCTAGATATAAGGAGAGACGTGCAACAAAAAGTTAGAGAGGCGTATGCGCATGACCCTATGTATGGTGACCTCCTCAAGAGAGTAAAGGAGGCCCCAGAATCCGAACCAGACTACCGCACTACTGATGGGCTGATATTCGAAAAGATTAACGTAGTTGACCAATTGTGCGTTCCTAGCAGTGAGGAGATCCGTAGTTTGACCCTAGGGGAATGCCACGATACCGAGGGACATTTTGGTTGGCAAAAGACTCTAGCTAACCTCATGCGCGCGTACATATGGCCTGGGATGAAGGCCGACTGCATAGAGTATGTTTGCAGTTGTAAGGTCTGCCAGAGAAATAAGACCTCTACGCGTGCCTCTCTAGGTCTTCTCATACCCTTGCCTATTCCTGATCAGCCAGGAGACTCAGTGTCCATTGACTTTATGGACACCCATGTCAAGAGTAGGCATGGCAAGAGCCAAGTCATGGTAATAGTTGATAGATTCAGTAAATATGTTGTTTTTGTTCCTTTGCCCTCAGAGGCACGTACAAAGTTAGTTATTCAGAAGTTCTTTGATCATTGGGTCAGTGAACACGGGATTCCACTGTCCATAGTTAGTGATAGAGACACCCGGTTCACTAGTCAGAACTGGCAGCAGTTGATGATAGTCTATGGCTCCAAGTTGTTGATGTCATCTGGCCGTTATCCAGAGACTAACGGTCAGACTGAACAGATGAACAAGATCCTGCAACAAGTCCTGCGTATGTACATTAGACTGGATCAGATCAATTGGGATGAGATGTTGCCCAAAGTAGCCAGTGCGTACAATAACATCGTACACTTGTCTACTTGTCACACTCCCAACGAGTTGCACAAGTCCTTTAGACCACGCAGACCGTCTGAGGGACTTAACCGGGATCAGATTCACAGGCTACCGCCCGATACTAGGGAGTTTGCATTACAACATGAAAAGGAGTTAGCTACCGTTGTAGAGAACCTCACGAAAGCCCAACATAGAATGATAGAGCAAGCCAATAAGCACCATCGCCCATCGCAGTTTCGAGTAGGCGACTTAGTCTGGGTCAAGTCTAAAGAGTTTGCGCCCGAGAATAACATCTCGCAGAAGCTATTGCCCCCGTATAGAGGACCGTGGCCAGTTCTAGAAGTTAAGGGCGGAGAGGATGGGCCGTCCTACACAGTAGAGATCCCAGCACACCTCCACACCTACCCCGTGTTTCATGCGTCAAAGTTGTTGCCCTTTGTCACAAGTCAACAGTTTCCATCCAGAAGATCCATGATCCCCCCAGACATGGACGAAAGGTACGGCATTGACAGCATTGTAAGTGAAGACGTATTCAGAACAGGAGGTAGAGGTCGTCCACAGAAACAGTACAAGGTTCGATTTCTGTATCAGGAACCCGAGGACGATCGCTGGTTTACTAGGACTGAACTTCTAGAATCAGCTCCCGACATAGTGAGAGCCTACGAGAGAGAAAGGAAGGGAAAAGGTCCTGCCTTAGACTGAGCTATTCTCGGAGGACCTCGAATTTAGGCCGGCGGGAGTGAAACGGTATTCACCTGTTAGCAGTAGCGGATGCAGGTCGCAGGGCTTGATCCCTAGTCCTCACTTTACCTGTGTACAGTATCAGTGTCGACCCCGAGTGTTTGAGCCCGTGACCTGTGTTTTGAGAGTTTTTGTTGTCTGTCGTAGTATTGTGTAATGGTAGGGGTTCGATCTGTAGATCTGTCAAGTAGGAGTCAGTGTCACAGCCCTGTAGAGGTCGTAGCTGTAGGAATCCTGAAAGGTCAAGGTCGTAGCTGCTACAGTACTCGAAAGGCCAAGTCCACAGACTTTCGGTCCGGAAGTGGTCTTTCGAAGCTGCCTCACGTTTTAGTCAGAGGCAAGTGGGCAAGTGGTGAGCCCAGCTGCATTAAGTCGGCAGTGCGACTGCATTGAGTTGGCAGTGCAAACCCATGCAGTCAGCGGTACCGGTCCAGCAGTCCCAGTCCAGTTAAGCAAGTACCATAAGGGACTGTGTGCACCATAGGCCTGGTGGAGAGGGGCAGACCAACGAGTTACAGAAGTATAAATCAAGAGGCAGCGCCCAGCCATGGATTCATTCCTGCGTAAGCCATGCGGAAGCCCTGCTACAGCGAC